GACCAAGTCAGGCCGGTTTCAAAACAGTGCTTTAGACACCCAGGTTCCAGCATCAAAATTTACAATTTTTAGAACTAAAGCATCAAAATAGACAATTAACCATTCATCATTGTTGCAAGCAAATAAAGTACCTGCATGTATGTACCCATCAGGATTATTGACTGGAACTGGATAGCATTTGCTGCCTCAATGCACATCCCATCTTGCAAGAAGTCCAAACTAATCTCATCAATGCCATGCGACGGCCACAAATCTTTGCTTACAAGAAAAAGGGTTATTGTCACAATAACCAACGCAATTTTTTACTAGGACCAAAGAAGAACTACTTCCAAGAGTTCATATGAAGTGTCATGACTTGAACAAATGCTTTCTGAATTCCATGATGGATTACATAAAAATCCTCCATACCAAGGATTTATAATCACAGTTTATTTTTTGACTGCAAATTAGAAACATTGAATACACAAACAAAAGATCACGCCCAGAAGTGGACAGTGTATTACAGAGAAGGGGAACATAGTGCAGAAGAATCTGATTCAGTTCAGTAGAGTAGCTCCTCAAAAACAGGATCTACTGATTGTCCCCACTTCCCATGGTACAATTCCAAAAGTTTCTCAGCCGGTGTTACACCTGCAAACAAGATTATCACTTGCTATGGTGAGTGATCATTAGAACCTCTTTCTGTTGGGAAACTGGGGTTGGGAGGATGGATGGGACCAGTATTCAAATGAATATCATCTCCTTAATTAGTTACCTGTTCTAACCACCTCTGCCACCTCATTTAAGAACCCTGATTCCTTAAAGCCCCTTCTTTCCAAGCCATCCTGCAAAGTAATGTACAATAGATTGCTGTTATACCCAATGGCAAAAGAGTCTATCAAGCAGAAGTAACAATAATAATCCCAGGTTACCTTTGCCAACTTCAAAACATCTTCAGCTACATGCTTCAACAGTCCATCACGAAATGATGTCTTTAGACCAGTCTTTGGAACCTACTAAACAGGTTTCGTAAGTTAGATTTGCGTTTACTACTGCTAGACATAGCATTCCCATTGTCATCAGACAATGACCATACCATACGTGAATGATTGATAATGCAGAGTAAAATGTTGTTCATGCATAGCCAGAGACAAAATCTTGCTTTAAGTCTAAGACTGACTAATCAAATATAGATACCCAGCACATCTAATATTACCTAGTATTAATCATCAATAAGGGAAGCATCATACTTAAAACCTTTAAAAAAAAGGATGGGACTATAATTTATTTGCTTGTGTTTGGTGTGTTTATATCACCTTATTTCTCAACATTTGTCTTTCTTCAGAAGTCCAATCAGCTGTTATGTCTAGAACATTTTGCAGTGAGACATCATCATATAGCAAACCAACCTGGCAATAGAATCAAAACCAAGATGAGCAAAGGTTGCAGAAACTGCCATGTAATGTCATAATCATACTTTGCAAGAAATGAGAAAGCAAACATGCCATTTAATGTTGTAGGACGGCACTCCATGCTGCCCAATATGCACATTAAATAATCTATGGTGCTCTTTATTCTTTTAACATAAACATGTTCGAATTACAGAATTAGAAGGCTTATGCAATAAATGAAGCCCAGGAATGTGGGCTACGTGACCATAATAGCAATATCAAGAGAAGAAAAGATTAAGAGATAATTAGAAGGTAAGAAACAATATAAATAGAACCCAAAGAAGAGGGCCCTGAAATCTCAGTGTCAATGTAGAGCTTTCAGGGCTTTCAAATCCCTCCTTGACCTGTTTCCTAGTAGGTAAGATTTACCATGGTATGCCTGAGTTGAGTAGTCAAAACTTCTTTTCGTTAGAACAAGGTGGCTATATCTAAATGTGATCAGTTGACATTAAAATTCGAAGGGATGATATTTTGGAGTCCTACATTCTTCTGAGTGTGGTTTCAAATTTTATCATGTCAAAATAGTCAACTTCATTCTATTCAGATGAGTACTACTAAATCATCCCGATAGACAGAATAATATAAACAGGTCAAAAATGCCAATTACCCAAAATGCAGGTAAAGCACATAACCTCCTCCAAGGCCCTCCATCAGCACCCCTCATCTCCAAGTACCTCTTTAGCCTGACCTGAATAGGGAGAGTAAAAATGGCTTAAAAAAGGCAAGAGCATTATGAGACTAGAAAGCTTCACAAATTATTAGAAATGCAACCTCTGGAAATATTGTAGTCAAATGATTTTCCCAATCATTGAGGGTTGGTAATTCACCAGGAATGCATGGAAGTTTTCCAGACATGAAGTCCTACAAAATGTGCATTTCACAATTATTTAGGAATAAATACAGAAGAAACATAGGGATTTCCGGGGTAAAGGAGACCAATAGAAGAAGCTTCAAATTACAAGACAGTTAAGGATAGATGGAAACCCGGAATGACATCCCAGTGCAGTCAATATACTTCTTTTTCCGATAAACAAAATACATTGGAACATCAAGAGCATAGTCAACATACTGCTCAAACCTGCAGCAACAGTTAAAAGATACCATCACTTAATGAAGCAGTAAGTTATTACATCAGAAACAAATTATAATAAAAAAAGAAAAAAAGAAAGAAAAATCCCTTCCTTTCAACTGGCAAGAATGATCATAACAATTTATCAAAACCATACTGTAGAGAAGTGATTCAGATGGCTAGAAAGGACTGCAGAAGAAAATAGAATAGCTTTTGCTTCTAAAGAAAAAGAAAAGCAAAAGGCAAACACATTTGTGGTGATAAATAAACTGAGGCAGAATTGCAAAAGATGCACAGACTATATTTTTCCAGTCGTGAGATCATTGATGCCAGTTATGGGTATTGACCACCCAAATACATGAAAACATCTCTAAACACTAGCATAGGATTCTAAGTGAGATAATCTTTGGTTAAAGAAGACATTGATATTGCAAGAGTTTTTCCCACAAATAAACAAATACTAAACATACCCAAAGGAGTCATCAAAAACAAAGGGAAGCATGCCAGTACGGTTCTTGTCAGTATCAGTCCAAATATGGCTGTCCAAACATTTTTAGGGAAAAAAAAAAATCAATAGAGTTAATTGCTAAACAAAGAAAAATATGAGAGATAAATCAATTGTTAAATTCAGAAACCTTCTCATGCTGAGAAAACCATTTGGCTTCCCTTCGGTAAAAGGTGAATTTGCAAATAGAGCTGTTGCAATCTGTCGGGTTTGCATGCTCATCAGAAAGCTTTAAAGAAAAGAAAAAAATTCATTGAAAAGATAGTACTAATGCTCTCACAGGCTGCAAAGCAAGACCAGCACGGAATTTCCTGATCATGTCAGCTTCTGAACTGAAGTCCAGATTAACCTAAACATAGGTAAAATATTTTGTTAACAGAAGATGTTATTAGAATTTGAAAGAAAAGTCTTTTTAAGATTTAGTTATAAAAGTAGCAAGAAGCAAAAAGTTTATTTCAAAATGGCCTGATTAACGAAAGAGGTAAAGTTAGTCTAACCTGAACAGTGCATGTTCTGAACATCATATCAAGTCCCAGTGAGCCAACTTTAGGCATGTAATTCCTCATAATTTCATATCTTCCCTGAGTGTTAATACCATTTCATCAGGTAACAGAATAATAGAACTACCATTGATAGAAGCTCAAATATTATAGAGGGGAAATAACATGCAGAAACAAGGACTAGAAAAATTGAAATAAGAGCTTCTACTTATCAGCCTTTGTAAATCTGACCTAAGAAAGCTAAAATAGAAACAACAAATATGGTTATAGATTAGAGAGACCAGAAAAAATGAATTGGAATGATCAAAACACTTTATGCAATTCCAACTTGCCATGCAAACTGGATATGTTAAAATGTAATTTAAATTATACCTTGGGCATGACAGGTATGTCTTTAAGTCCCCATTTTGGCTGGAAACCAATGCCTAAGAATCCAATGCCCATTTCCTCTGCAACAGCTTTAACCTAGTAAAAGTAATTCATTACATGTAAATACATTAATAAGTTCAATTGCATAACATAATGCACAGTTTTCAGTGAAACAAGAAAACATAGATAATGAAAAGCAACATCAGAACCAATTGCGTTAAATTTATTGTTCCTATTAATGGATGATTCAGACCGAAAAACCTAATAAAGATGAGCATTAATTAATCTGACTAACCTGATAAAGATGTGAATTGACCTCAGCACAAGTTTGATGCAAAGTCTCAAGAGGTGCACCACTAAGCTCAAACTGGCCTCCAGGCTCCAGTGATATGCTTTGCTTCCCCTATCCCACAAAAGGCAAAGGTTTCGAACAGAAATTAAACAAGTTAATAGAGGGAAATTTGATATTGCCTTTAATACAGACATGTTTTGGGAAACATGATTAGCTGTTTTCTTCTCAAAAGATTAGTCAAGACCGCCATTCAAACAATAAAATATTACAGTACATACATGGGTTCAACCTATATAAACAAAGTACATGAGAATACTATCAAGAAATCCAATTTACCTGTTTGAGTCCTATAATGTTGTCCTCTTCAATTATTTTATCCCAATCGAATCTCTCGGCAATACCATTGAGTAATTCTGCTATTTGTTCATATCTCATAGGACGTAAAGTTTGAAACTCAAAACCAAACTTCTCATGTTCTGTACCTATCCTGAGGAAAGTGTGCAATGCAATTTGCATCAGCAAATAAGAAATGACAAGTGCAGATGTAGGAGAAAGATAAATACGGATGAAAATTCATGATAAAGCAACATACGCATCTTTCCTAATAATAGAAAAAATAAAAAGAATCTCATAGAAAGCATATTCAAGTAGAATAGAGACACAAAAATACTACACTGATCCAAGTGAAACAAGATTGTTAAAATTTTTACCTCCAATTCTCCTTCGGCTTACATCCAGAGGCAAGGTATCCAACAAGATCCTCTTTTGTGAGTGGCTCTGTAGAAATCACAGCATCCTCTGTGGGAGGACTAGCTGCCACGATTACTCTCTGCCCTCTTTTTCTTACCACACCCACAGTCTCTATAGGGAAAACCCGCGATGTCTTGGCAGAAATACTTGAGAAGCAAGAGAGACTAACAGATTTTTCTTTCATTGGAGATGCCTCTACATTGTTTGCCCTGCCATCAGCTACATGCTGTACCATTCTACCCTGAGTTACATCAGCTTGAATACAATACAATGGGCCTACCCTGGAAACAATTGCCATTGTATGCTCCCTGCAAGATGATAAAAACCCAAGATAACAATTAGATCCCCTCAATCTCAAGTTCCAGGGGCAAAAGTTCACACCACCCACCACCAAAAGTATGCTAACTGCTAAGCATAAAAACACCACCCATCATAAAATGCATACTATTGTTTACTTGCGGTAATCTGCGCACATATCATGTATGTTTTAGTGCTAAATTCAATATGGGAGCAAGAGATAGAATCATCACATGAATGCTGTATAAGTAATATAATAAAAAAAAATACCAATCCCAAAGTCCAACTAGATTCAAAACAACAAGGAAATATCAAATTAATAACGATAATAACAATAATAATAATATGCTAGCTGATTCTTTCAAGTATAACTCAAAATTCAACAATAAATCGATTCATCCAGAAATCTAATGAAGTAAAAAAATAAATAAATAAATAACGCAATGATGTGGATTGTTACCAGGCGTTCACCGGAACTAAATTCTAGGGTTTCAGACTTAGCGTTCCGAATCTTAGAGGTCTTTCGAGTGAGCGAACGACGGAGAAGAAAAAGCCAAAGTGTCAGTTTCTTCAGTGGAGAAAATGAGAAGACAAAGGAGTAAGGAGTTGTTCTGATGCTTTGCGGCGACGGCCATTATTATTCTTTGAAAAATTAAAAGGAAAGTATTAAAATGTTTAACCGTTGAAAACTGTTACGGATGGTAAAAAAAAAAAAAAAAAAACTTAATATTAAATTTTTTTATTAATTTATTTTTTATAATTTAAAATATTGAAATTCTTGGTTCATTAAAGAGTTTTTATTTTATAATTTTATAATTTAAATTATAAAATATTAACAAACTTTAGTTTTATAATTTAACATATTTTAAATTATAAAATAGTACACCCCAAAAAAATGTATTAGTATAAAAATTTTGTTTTTAATTACCAGAATGATATTTGGATGCATAAAACAAATTTTAAGACGTTTAAAAACTGGTTCGGATATACTTAATTATAAATACTAAAATAAAATTGCCAAAGTATAACCAAAATGATATAAGTTTTTTAATTTTTTTAATATTTAAAAATTATATTAAATTTCAATTAATTTAAAATCAAATCATATCAACCTCAAGTTTCCTAACAATTATTTTTTCATTCAAGCCACATCAACCTCATAAAAAAAATTCTCCTGGTATTTAGATACGCAGCCGTTGTTAAAAAGAAGAAGAAGAAGCTGATACGCAAGGGTTGCGTGAAATATGAGCCTTATTATATATTTTATATCAGAGTTAAAAATATATTTATTACATTATTTTATAATTTTTTTATAAAAAATATAAATATTAACTTTAATTAATCAAAATTATTTGTGTAATAATAGTATTTAAATAAATATTAAATATATTATATAAAAAAATAAAATTAAAACATTTTAATATTTACAATAAAAAAATAATAAATTTATATTTTTAAATCAAAAATTAAAAAAACCTTAGTAGTACGCACAAGATTTGCCCTAGATTTTTTTT